TAGTATAGCTAAGGTCACGATACATTGAAGTTTCGAAGAATTGAACTATAAGGTCACGGTACGTGGAGGTTTCGGAGAATCGACCTCGATCCCTGCGTAATAAACGAACATTCGTTTAACACCGTTTAGAAGTGTACTGCACCGCTTGATCAATCTGTCGAAAGGACTATACCGTGTTCGGTGAGTCGTCGCATATGAATATGCAGATACTTAATTACAAGTTAATTTTGATGATCATAAAACTGAATAATATACGTATCGTGGCTTTTTTTTTTTTTGTCGTTCGTTCGAAAGGAATATTGAGCACCGGATTGACAGGCAGTTCTTCATAGGTGGCGTCTGAAAGGTTTAACGCCAGTGTCTGTGGCTCATACTGAAGTATATAGCACTTTGTCGCCTCACTTTCCAGATGTTTTTATTCGTCTTTTTCTCCTGGTTCAGTCCTTATTTATTTTGCGGCGCCTTGTTGCCTGCACCGACAGGCACTGCGTACTGGTGGAAGTACGGGGAGGACGGGTGGGCGAGGGGTGTTGTCTAAGTATAGCCTGAGCCGGACGCCGACTTAGGACCTCTCCAAATAGCCTCTCCACGACGACAGTGGGAGAGAGAGAAGACACCGGCCAGCCATAGGCTCAGCTTTTCCGGCGTAGTCGAGAAGAGCGGTGGGCGAGGCTGCGAGCTTTCGACGGCGACGTGGGAAACACTCTCCGGCCACGCCATCTCCGGGTCTTGGCCGGCGAACGCGTTCGCAAGCGAGGCACGCGTTTTAGCCGCCCCAATGCATATATAGGGTGACCCTTGGGGACAGCGCACTGCGTGCCAAGTTGGGAGGGGTATATAGAGACAAGCTGGTCTGAGAGTTGGCTGCTTGGGCCGCCGGTCACCGCCGTCTTCCGACGCCCACGTTTTTCCAATGCGCGCCGCGTTACTGTAGTCCCCAGGTGTTGAAGATTTGGGCGAGTCGGTTCGTCGTATTTGAACTGGTATAGCGCAAGAGGACATTGCGCTATACCTGCAATATACGGCCGTACTACTGGCGCGATATGTACCGTTTCGTTCGCCGTTACGTCAGGTCCTGCCTTACGTGCCAGCGACGCAAGATGCCCGCTCAACATACCACTGGTCCCTTGCAGCCGTTGCCATGTCCAACACGACATTTCGATCGTGTTGGAATCGACCTTTACGATTCGCTTCCCTATACTTCGAGTAGCAACCACCGGGTCATTGTCGCTATCGACCACCTAATGCGGTACGCTGAAACAGCTGCTTTACCTTGTGCTACCGCAAAAGACGTTGCATGTTTCATACTGCAAAAACTGGTTTTAAGGCATGGAGCACCTCGGGAGTTACTAAGCGACAGGGGCCGCGTTTTCCTCTCCGATGCCATTTCCCTATTAGAAACAGCAGAGCATATTCTGCTCTGCTGTTTCTCGATTTCCGTCATGTGCAGTACCAGTTCAAGTTGCTGTACTCGCCTTCTGGCCACCCTTAACGACGACTGACTGGCAGGGTGTATCCATCCACTGGTGACGTCACAAGCGCAACACACACGTGCGCACGAGAGTAAGATATAGTTACGTCACAGGATTCCACACGCACAATAGATAAACACACACACAAATAAAAATGTCAAGAACGTACCGTAGGCAGGATTTAAAATATGGGCCTACATGGCACTGAAGTCTGATGTAATGGTTACAGCAATACTGATAGCCGAGCTAATCGGTGATGCATTTTTATTCAATTTGCAGTGTGCCCGTCCGTTTTAGTGCTGCAAGCTTCGTCGACAACGTAATCACAGCGTCACAGGAGGGCATAGCTTATCAGATGGAATATAACGTCTTTAGATGATGTCCCACGTGCAGCCGAGCGCGTTGGGGGGAGGGGGGAATCGTCCTGCGATCGAACCCCTAAAATTTTCACTAATGAGCGCTGCTCGCCGTCAGGTCAACCACTGTCGCAAGTGACTACTAACCGGTTTCAAGACTTCCGGATAATAGTTTATGACACAAGAACATTCACGCGAACACCGTCTCTTCTTTATGCGGTAGGTAATGCGAGGGATGCTCGCTAATATTTGCTGAGAGGTTGATACATCTGGCGTTATCATTTTTTGGCAGGGAACGGGAACAACTTGGCAGCTATCTACATCAATATGAGGCGCCCCTCCGGCGTGACCTCGGTTCATGAGATATTAATAAACGAACGGGTGGCATCCCACGCAGATATGACGGATGGCGGGTGGCGAACGCATATATATATATATATATATATATAAGAAGTTTATACCTAAGAGCTCGTTTTTCCGTGTTTTAACACAATATTAATGACATCTAACAGACAGTAATGCCAAGGAATGTACAGGGGAAGTTATTAGAACCAATGGAATGTAAATAAGAAAGAAAAGTGGATGAAAAAATAACCAGCCGTGAGCAGGAATCGAACCTACGACCTTCGTTCGAGAGCATCGAACGCGTTATTCGAAGGTCGTAGGTTCGATTCCTGCTCCTTTTTTCATCCACTTTTCTTTCTTCTTAGTTACATTGCATTGTTTCTAATAACTTCCACTGTACATTCCTTGGCATTACTGTCTGTTAGATCTCATTATATATATATATATATATATATATATATATATATATATATATATATATATATATATATATATATATATATATATATATATATATATATATATATATATATATGTATATATATATATATATATATATATATATATATATATATATGTAACACCACGCCCCTAACAGCTACGCCGCTTTGAGGATCATCAGAGTCACTCAGCGACAATGCACACGTTTGGACCATGCACACGTTAAGACGAAGATTTAGTGTAGCGGTTTAAATTTGAACTATAGTTTTCCCCTCGCTCATCTCCCGGACCAGCACTTTCAAGCACTGGTACGCGAAGGGGTAGCCAACTAATATCTATACGGTGGTACACGTTCGATGTTGCGAGTTCGGCACCGGACGTGGCGGCCGCATTTAGATGAGGACCGCTAGTGTATCTTGTACATTTAAGAACAAGTAAGAGAAGTCAAAGACCTCCTGGGAGTCATGATTAATCTGGGTCATGTAGTAAAGTAGTGCTTCAGTGTATGGCATTTAACCTAAAGAGTCACTCATCTATGCAACCACCGACGACTAAAAACTCCCTCCAGCGTCTCGACAACGCCAATATGGTGTCCTCATTTCCATCAACCGTCGAAGCACTCAATTCCCTATTTCGCGAATCAAAGTTCATCTACAAGAAATTTACACGTAGCAGCGAAGCTTAATTGTTTGACCCGGGTAGCACAGTTCTGTCATGCATTACACGCTGAATATAATTGCTGTAGTTATAAAACAAGGCTCAGTGTTTTATAAAACGATTCCATCTAAACCAAAAAGTAAGAGTTCCTCCTAAAAGGTGGCTGAATAGCGATCCCTTGTGGTGACCTTAAGGCAAGAAAAAATGAGCTATTGATGAGGCCCATTTCTATCCAAACACTTGACTCGTAACCTGAACAGCAGTTGTCACACCTTAAAGGTAAGCTAAGACAATGCGTCCTGCTGCCAAAAAGTTCCCTTTTCCAGAGTAACGATCGTTTGCTCTCTCTCTTCGCTATACCGAGTGAGTCAACATCCTTATCTGTGGTCAAGAATGATTGGGAGGGGGAATTAAAATGCGGGCGAACACTTCATTAACGCAGCGAGACATTTGGCTATAGACATTGACTCTTGGGCGTTCTATCAGCGAGAATAAAAGAGACGTGTTTGTGATACCTTAAGACAAGCGAGATGATCCGTAGAGGAAATTGAGTCGTATCTCTTGCCCGTAATCATAAACCAACCTTACCCTTACCTCACGTTTTCCTCAAGTTCTTGTACACTCTACGTGCGTTATAAGGGCACAAGGATGGTAACAGGGTAAAATCTAACAACGGGATTGGTTCATGTATACTAGCCTATATTTTTGCCAAGCAAGCACAATAGCAGCTTGAAACCGATGAGGAAAACTCGAGGTAATTAAGGTTGAGGTTGGTATGCGAATACGGGTCTATTAATTAGCTTATAGCATAGTACCTCGGTAAGAAATGCTCGATGATGTCACTAGCATCGAAGACCGTCGACATTCTTGTCATTGCTACGCAGAGATGTCACAAATTAACGCCGATCACTTGGTTATACTTGTCAGCCCGAGGTCATTTCTTAAGAGTTAAATTAATGCACAGGGCTACACGAGAGTGCGCCAATCGTGTCATATGCTATCAAGGCCAGCTGCAACAATATTTTAGGCTGCATAAAAACAACCTAGTTTCAAATCGAGTGCATGTTAGGAAGCTTGTCACGTTCGCATTATGTGATGCACTGCCACGGAAAGCTAGCAGAAATATATTCGTTTGTGATGAGACTGCAAGATGTCGCTATTGAAGCCGCTTAATCTATTGGGACATGACCTAGAACGGCTGATCAAAAGGTATACCCGAATCCCTAAAAAATCTCGCAGGTGGCCTGCCTTGACCAGAGTACAGCGACTTGGAAGAGAGGCTCAGTTGGCGGCCGAGACAGCGATGTTACCAAATTGTCACCGACGCTACATTAATCACGACGTTCGTGACTCCTGGTGCGCTGAACTGCTTGAGAGGACACGCCATGCGAGGGGGTTGTGCATTCTTTGTCACTACCATCGAGGACAAAGTAGCGTCTATGAGCAACGCTTGCACCCGAGTAGACGCAGCGTCAAGCGTTCCAGTGCGCCCTCCGCATGTGACAGTGACAACCAGATGATGCACGCGTAGTCTTCTAGTATACCACGGGATGTATTCATAGGCTACTGAGAACACAACTGTATCGTTACCACTCCTGCGTCGTTACCGAGATTCTTTGAATTGTTTACATGCATTCACTTACGGTGATTTCAGATAAAATGGCACGTTTTTGTAGTTGCCCTTTAAGAAGATAATTATGAGAAACACGTGCAGGTGTACGTCACTCACTCTGCAGCTGCTGGATGGCGAGACGGTACTCGAGCTCCTTCTCGTCCACGTAATCCTGCGACTGCTGGGCGATCTGCTGGGCCAGGCTGGGGCCTCCGGGTTCCACGTACTCGCAAATGGGCTCCTCGGCCCACACCCGCTGGCCCGATGGTTGAGGCACCACGTCCAGCGGCACGCGGCGAGGACTCGGCGCACCACCGCCGGTCGATGTCGTTACGTTCGGAGTCGTCAAGATCGTTAGCTGCACCGGGTGCTGCTGCTGCTGCTGCACACCAAGTCGCGGCGAGGGCTGAGGCCGTGGTGAAGCCTGCGGAGTCGAGGTCCACGGTTGGTCATAGTGGACTTGACTAGCACCAGCCGCGGCGCCTGGAGGCGGTCTGTATGGCTTAGGAGAAGGCGACGGCTGGGGTCTGTGCATCGTCGGAGGACCGTCTTGTCCCGTGTAGGGAGGCGTCTGGAACTGGACATGCTTGTGGAACTGGGGCGATGGCTGCTGCTGCTGCTGGGGCGGGGTCCAGGTACCGGGGCCAGGTGGCTTCCAGACATCGGCCTTGACCTCGAGGACGCGCACACCGGCCGGAGACGGCGGCTGGCGAGGCGACGGCGTCGAAGACGCCGGACGCTGCTGTGGTGGCGTCGGCGGGACGGCCGAGGCACTGCGAGCAGCGGCTAGCTGCTCCTGAAGGCGCCTCTGTTGTTGCTGCTCCAGCTCCCGCTGCTGCTGGTGGAGCTCCTTCTGCTGCTGCTGCCATGAAGAGGCCATGTCCTCCTCCCCGTGACCGTCTGCGGCAGGGTTTTCAACCACAGATTGTTGTTGTTGTTGCGGTTGGGGTTGCGGCGGCAGCGGCGGCAGCGGCGACGACGAATCTGGCGCCTCGGGGGCTCGACCGGCGCCCTCTTTGCCGGGCGACTCGCCAACGCGACCGGCGCCGCGCCCCTGACGATTGCCCATACCGGAACCACCTGGGCGACAAACACGGTGTTTGGGGCCCCGTGGGAGCTAAGATGGCCGCTCGCCACTACGCGGTCGTCGCCGCCGCATGCCACTAACGGATCGTGCAAAGACTGCCGGCTGACGCAGATAACTTGCTACAGGGCTTGGCCGAGTTGGGGTAGGCGTGATCTCCTATGCGTACAGCGCACACAAGGGCAAAAGTTGAGGGACGAATAGGCCTCTTCCACTGTTTGTCTGTGGCAATCTCCGGACTGTGCCGTGAAACATTATATTGGCTCGGATAGATCATAGAAAGAGAATCAGAACGCTAGACTTCAACAGCTGTTGAAGTCTGGCGTAGTGTGGCTCTTCCTATCCTGTGCGGGTCTTTGCTCACCATTACGATCTTTCACAGTATTCTCTTAAGACATTGCAACTGGACCTGATGTTAAAGCTCCGGACTGTATGTTGGGCACTACATTCACACCCGAGCAAGTCTAGAACTTTCTCGGGCAGTCCTGTACTCTCAGGGAGAGACAGCCGGACTTATCTATTCTATCTTTTTGTTTGTCCTTGTGTGTGCTGTACGTACAAAAGATCACTCTGTAACACAGGCTGCAGCGGCTATATAGTTTGTGCAATCAAGCAGTGCCCTACACCTGCAAGCTTCAAACATATATAAGCGGGAACGGTCGGCGCTGCTTGTGGAAAGCGAGTGGTTATGGCTTTCTATACGTGGCTTATTATTTGATAAAATTCTATAGAAAAGCGCAGACGACAAAGCATTGGTACGTCAAAGCGTACACTTTTGCATTGCGGATACAGGGAACAGAATGTTGGCTTTGCAGGCTGTGCGACTTGACACTATGCAAGGCATAAAAAGACGCAGCTGATAACGTACAGTGCGGTTATTCACACAGCTCGCCGGTGGTTGGAAGCAGCAACTAAACACAAAGAGGAGCATTTCCGCATTCCACAGATAGATACATTCTTTGCTACATACACTGGAACGGAAACATTCCTAACAGAGCAATGCTTCATGAAATCACTATGAGCACAGCAAGTGAACCTAGAACAATGCTTTAAGTAAATACCAATTTTGCAAGGTCTCATTTGTAAGCACAGTGCACATAAATAACTTGAAGGGGTAGTAAAAGAGACGCATCGTTTTAAAGTGTGAGGAAGCTAATATTCTGCGTTTTGAACAACATGCACCATGACAGTGCTTATGGTATTTAGCGAAATGCCGTGGTCATGAATCCTATTAATCAAAATGAAGCATTTTTATGTGTCACAATGAAGTTTTAAAGTGCTTACAATGTTCTTTTTGTGTTATAAAAGGGGAGAAGCAGGAAGTATGCTCTGTAGGTGCATGCGCACATCGTACAGAAAAAGATCAGTGAAAACGCCCGGCATTCGCCGATATAGCTGATGCTGCAGAATTAATTGTAAACCAAGCTCAGACGAAGTAAAGTTTTGTGAAGCGAAAAAAGTCCCCCTAGATGTAGTGAAGCTTTTTTTTTTCGAAGTCGGACTTGATATCGACTTTGGCCAACGTTAAAGTCTAGTTCTACAAGCTTGAGAATCTCTTCAGGTCCAGTCTCAAGAAAGACGTAACAATGGCTTAAACAAGTTTGAGAAATACTCAAGAACGACTTTACATGCGCAAGAATACTTCAATGGGACTTCTGGCAGCCGTAAGAACTGTCCTTGAATCTTTTACAGCTGCGCTGTCCTTGATATACAAGATTTTTCTATAGGAGGCGAAGCAGGGTCGAGGCTTGTCTGTCCACGTCTGTGTCCATCATAGAGAGATGCGCGGATGTGAGACACACACGCAAAAACATTTTTACAATAGACAAGTAACAAGGTAAGAATCATAATTGGGATGGAACAATATAAAACACCGTGAAGCGTAAACCCTCTGTACTAGTTTGCTACTTGAAGACATTGTGAACCTTAGGACCGAGCTTCGTCATCGGCTCTGTGTCACCTTATGTAAACCAATCTACATTATACGGAGCGACGTTCGGGTAACATGTGTAAGACAAAAGAAAATGTTTACCAATAGGCTAATATCAATCATAACAGGGACAGAACACCTCGAAGCACAAATCCTTTATACTAGACAGCGACTTCAACGCATACATCATGGACCCTAAGATCTGGCTTCGCCCGCTTACCATCCTTCACTTCGTGGAGATGCGTATATTTTTTTTGTTCGCTTGTTTTCTCTGGTTGACGTATACATCTAGAAATGCACCCTATTCTGTCTTTATTGCCCCCACCAAGGGTGATGGCGTTGACAGGTGCTTCATGTCCTCGTGATGTCACATCACGGACGTGTTATGTATCATAGATTCGGTGGGCGCGTAGTAGCATCATGGCTACACATCATGCTACACAGTAGCATCATGGCTACATGGCTACACGTTACGACGGAGATCCATCGGATGCACTGTCAGAACCGTGCAACGTATCAGTCGACTCAGCGGGGGATTAATTAGGCTGTCCCACACATTCGAGAGTTGTGCTCATGAGCTGGGCGTTTGTGTAGCTCCGCTACTTGTGACAAGCATTCCGGGCCTCTTTCCTCTCCGCGACTGGGCCACTCTAAATATAAAGACGCAGCCGCCGTCCGGAAAAGCTCCGAGCTAATTGCTTTGTTTGCGCTCAGTTCACGAGAGCAAAGAGCGTCATTCCTAGCAAACAAAAGTAAATAAAAAAGGACACTTAAAAGTGCACTGCTTCTGTTGACACTGTGTTGATTTGCATGCAATGTCAGCATAGGAGCAGCAATACTATTGATATTTCAGTTTTAACGCCTCAAAAACACGATAATATTGTGAGGTACGCTGTAGCGAAGAGCTCCGGAAATTTGGACATCCAGGGTTTTTTTTTTTTTTAACATGCACTCCTATTGAAAAAAACGTCCACCATAGGAACGGTGGATTCCAGCATCCACCATTTTGGTGGATTATGGTGGTGGAAATGTTGGTGGCACATGGTGTATGGTGGCGTATGGTGGAGCGGACGGTGGATGGCGTGCTCGAGCCGGCAATGCTGTAGCGCGAAGCAGCGTCAGAACCAGCGTGACGACCTGCCACTTAAGAAATAATAAAAATAATTGTATAAAAAACGATGTAGAAAGCAGCCGTGAAAAAAAAAAGAAGACACCACAGCGCGGAATCAAACCTGCTACCTTCGGAATGTCATCTGAGCACATGGATGGATGCTATGAGCGTCCCCTTTATAACGGGGTGGTGACAAGTATGCCACCAGGCTCGACAAAAAAAAAAAAAAAAAAAAAAAACTTTTTTTTTTATGTTGGCCTAATGCCTCTACTTCGATAAATTCTATCTTAATGGAAAAAAAGGTAAATTTTCAGCTTAAGTTCTCTGCCATTTACGGCACACTGTCCATATTTTATTTTTCCAATATTTATTTTTGTCCTTTCTCTCTAATTTTCTGCCACCAATACTCTAACCGTCTCTTACTTATTTCAATCGCGGGTGTGTTCAGCTTTCCATTGTTGTCCCTAAAACCCAAGGCTTCCTGTAGGCTCGTGCCCAAACGTACACCTGGGTGGATATCTCCACATTCAATCAGAACATGCTCCGCCGTTTCCTTATCTTTCCCGCAGCATGTGCATTGTTCTTCTTCTTTACTGAATCTTGCTTTATAACTACGCGTTCTAAGGCAACCCGATCTCGCTTCAAACAGTAAAGCGCTTCCCCTTGAATTATCGTAAAATGCCTCCCTCCTTATTTCATTTTTGCCCTTTCGGTAGTTACTCAAAGCCGGTTTTTTCTCCATAGCTGCCATCCAGTAAATCCTCTCCGCCTCCCTGACTTTTCCCTTAACGCTCTTTGTTGACATACGGCTTACAATACCAGCCGTATACTTCCACTTCGCCACGCCACACTAACCACTTCGCCACGCCAACTGCTGGCAAAGGTGGTGTTAAAGAAGTAATTAACTCACAAAGCCACTGTTTAACTTCTGTTCGTCGCTCACTCGAGATGGACGGGATCTGCCCCTGCTACTAAAATTTGCACATTTGATAAACACGAACAACTGCCGCCTGTAACGATTATCACTGCGATAACGGCAATAGCGCTATGTTTTTGTTACAATTTACGACCGCAAGAAAAAAAAAAGACATCAGTGGACTGAGGAGCAGGTAGAGTTTATCGGCGGTTACTGCCAAGTTTATTATCTGCTTCTCGCTCCTTCCAAAGGGCGATATCTATTCAGGCTTTAAAACGCTTCTATGCTCATTCGATTGATACACCCACATAATTGATTGTGATGTTTTTCGCGCAACGCAGATCACAGTCGTGCCAGCGCACCACTGTTGCTCTGTCATTCGGAACAAATACATGACAGCTTGGCCAAAATGAATGCAGTGCGCCAGAAACATTATGCTATTATATTGGTTCAGTAAGCACACGAATAGACGAGTCTATGTTCTCGCATAAGAGCCAGTGAAGTGCCGGCAAGTGTGATCGGCGGCTGTCGGAGAGGGGAGGCGTACATTTGATGGAAGTGCTGCAAGCGCGTCGCATCGATGTTTGTCGCTTCTTGCGCGGACACCGTACACAATAAAAAGGGCTTCGTTTAGGGTAAATGATGCCACAGCTGTGCTGTATTGTCATTTTTACTCGTAAAAATTGTGTATTCTGAAACCCAGAAGCGCCGATAACATTTGAGCTGACTCGGTCGGTATGACTAACCTTTGGTGGAAATCATGGAGAACAGAAGGGTGAAAGTCAAATTCGCTGGGGTTCGTCTCGACGCATGTCGAAAGTGAAAGTTTATGCATATTCGCACGCACTTCGTTAACTTAAAAGTACGGCTCGAGCAATAGAGTGTGCAAGAATTGCCAGAG